CTGAAGTAAGTGGGCTCCGTTTGGAGAACCTGATTAAAGTCCTGATTCTTTAACGCTGAGCTTATTGCAGACGTCTAAGTGGTTATAATCCATCTACAAAGTATAGCTAATTTGATGTATAACTTTCACGCCATGTCATTAATACAAATTCTGTTTTTCTTAACTCAATGAGGGCTATCGTTTTTATACTTAACAGTTGGCACCCCTGGCGATTGACAGGACCTTACTCTACAGTGGCGCCATCTTGATGAGTGCAAATGCGATAGTCCTCATACCACTTTAGCGCTCACCAGTTGGTGCCACAGTCTTCGCTACTAGCAAGTGACAGGACCTTACTCTACAGTGGCGCTAACTGGTGAGCGCTAAAACGATAGCCCTCATTAGACCTTCTCTACCTAAACTCAAACATTTTTATCAACATTATATTAGTTCAAGCGATAAAATTTAAACTATGTATTTGCATGCGTTTTACTAGGCACTACGAAATCAATAAATATCAGTGCCTACTTACTCAGTCTCAGTGAAAAACTTACCTTTTAATTTAAATAAAAAAATAAAAAATAAATCCAACAAAGAAAGAAAATAATTTAGGTGTTACAATTACGAATTCTATTTGTTTAGAGAGTCTGGCATGAATAATAAATAGTCAAAATATAAATAAGTGTCAGTGAAGCTTCCCTATTCCGACATTTTTGAATACCTTTCACGGAGCTTCTTTGAACAGCCGGATGGATCGAAATGAAACCCTTCATTGTGAATAGAGATTAGGAGTGGGTTGTACTTCATTTTAGTAGGTCAATCCGCTTAAGGCAATTTTTAGTTTTTACATTGGTTACAGTTTTTAGCATGTTCCTTTTTTAGAGGTAATAAGTTAAAAGTTAATTACATTATTTAATGTGACTCAGATTACAAGTAAAATAGGTTTTACTTACAATTTTTGTTTACTTAAGTCACCATACCATCTTCGTTATCACTATTCACTGCTCCACATTTATGTAATTATTTACCCAATAGCAAGTTTTCTTACAACAAATGATTTAGTTATAACTACTGTTATCTAAGATCCAATTTCTTTTTACCAAAACTGGTATAGTGACTTGAATGTAAAATAAATAACATAGGTAACAAAAATAATAGTACGTTACTTTTACGGAAATTCTGTTTAGAAGTTACTAGCTGACCCGGCGAACTTTGTTCCGCCTTAATGGCAATAAATAACGGGATAAAAATCCTATGTCCTTCTCCTGGCTCTAAACTATCTCTCTGACAATTTTCAGCTAAATCGGTTCAGCCGTTCTTAAGTTATAAGTGGAGTAACTAACACGACTTTCTTTTATATATCTAGATAGACTAGCTGACCCGGCGAACTTTGTTCCGCCTTAATTNATAATGGCAATAAATAAGCAGACTTTTTTTTAATTTCGAACGGGATAAAAAGTATCCTATGTCCTTCTCCTGGCTCTAAACTACCTCCCTGACAATTTTCAGCTAAATCGGTTCAGCCGTTCTTGAGTTATAAGTGGAGTAACTAACACGACTTTCTTTTATATCTAAAGATTATAAAAATAGGTACATACCACAATGTGTTTCTCTTTTCAAAAATGGAATTTCTATGAGGAAGAAGTGGAAAGTTCAGTAGGGTGTAATCCAGACGTCCTGCTGACAGCGTAAACGGTTGTGATGACACGCGAGAAATAATAAATTATCTCAGGTAGGTAGAAATACTTTATCTCTGTTTATTTTTAACATAAAGTAGACCTTGATAAGTCGTTGTTTGAAGTTTTGGGAAAAGTTATTTTCACTATTATGTAGTGACCAGTGTGCCTACCATGAGTTTACGTTAGGTGAGTTCGCTAGCGAATACGTCAAAAAATTCTATGAAGGTCTTATTTCTTGAAAGTAGCCACTAGGGGCGCTGCACAATATGTCATACATTTAAATGTCATTTTTTTACGCAGTCGCTAGCGAGCACACCTAACGTAAACTCATGGTAGGCACACAGAACGGTTCTGTCCATTGACTCTAGTTTACAATTGACATACTTTTAAGTTTATGAGCTGTCAAACCGGAAGTCAATGTAAAAAACGTTTCTTGTTAGTCGTAATGAAAGTTACATATTTTCAGGACATATAAATAAAACGTATTGTTCGTATAATCATAATCTTTTTATTAACAATAAAATGAATCATGTGCGATACATAATTGAATTTCCAATTTAAGATGCACAAGCCTGTCATCGCAGAAAACTACCGACCATCCTTTACACTTCGCTCTGCTCGTGAAGGTAAATAAATTTACTTACAATAATTAATTAATTAATTTTAAATTAATTGTGTTCCATTCGGTTACTGTTCAGAGCAATCAAGGGAGATGCATTCGTCTACAGGCAAGAATTTCAATGTTTATTTATAAAATGTCTTACTTACCTATTAGTACGTGACTTATTTTATGAGTATATTGATCCCTTTTGTTTTATTAACCAAAACTATAACCATGTTTTTTTGTTTCATAAAGATATCGAAAAACTCAATTCAACATTTCATTTCAAAGTTTCAGCATCAAAACGGAACGGTTTGAAAAACTTTCGTCGAACATTTCAATAGGAGTCTCTTGCAGCCAAACTTAACCTGGGGATAGTTTGTTTCCAATTGATATACCGAAGGCGACAAGCTTATAAAGTTGGAAAAGTTTAATGAGCTTTATCGACGGAATGTTCTCGCTTCGATCACGAGTAAGTTACAGCATTAGGGTTCCCTGAACGCGATTGTGCTGGTGCAAATTAGTTGTTTGTCGCATGTTTGCGACACTTACTTAAGCTTCGTACATACTGTTAATTATAGGAATAGTTAAGGTGTAAGATTATTTCATGGACGTAAAATAAACTGCCATAAGGCGAAAAGCAATAATGATAAGTATTGATTAGAGGCCAATGATTTAGGAATCAGACAAAGTATAGTGGTAAACCCACACTAAAGCATACAATATTTTTGTTTAGTTGAAGGTGATAACGGGAATATTCAGACTACGAGTTTCACTCACGCTATGCTGTAGCTACGACCAAACTACGGCGTGTACGACTCGTAGCACCGTAGCAAAATACGGCTACGAATCAGATATTGCACATGAGTAAATAAAAAGTTTATTACAAATTAATTTCTTAGTCAATTTATTTTGTTGATTTTTGACTCTCTTGGTCTGAACTAAGCCTAAGAATTCTGAGTTCTACGGAAGCGGACTGAAATATATTAACGGTTTAAACTAGCTGGTATTGATTACTTGAAACTTGAACAGTTACAAACAACTTGTATGAAGCACTTTGTCATTGGGCGTATGGTCAAGGAAAATGATGGGTGGCTCAGTGGCTAGTGACGTCATAAATCGTCTCTAGCGGTCGTTTCTCGTGTAATAGAAACTATCTATCAGACTCTCATGAAATGCTTGAAAGGCTTTCTGCATTATGTAAGTATGCTTTGCATAAAAGCTTTGGTCTTATTTGGAATCTTCGGTACCAAGATTTCTGTCTGAAAGTATTTTTAGGATAGAAAGAAAATGTTAAGTCCAATTAAAATACAAGAATAATAAAATGTATAAATTAGGTATCAACCTGTAGACGAAAATTATACTCCCACATCATTTGATACAAATGAACCGTATGACACGTTATCATGAAAAAAAGCACTTGATTTTTGTTCAATAAACTGCGTAATGCATCTCTCTTATCTTTTTTTATAATCGAGAATTATGTAAGAAGAAAAATTTATGGAATATAATAACAATAAATAAATATTTTATTTACAGTCAAAAATTTTATCGCCTATCTATTATATCATCGGGCGTTAGGAAATGGTATAACTGGTGAGCAGACGGAAGGAACCCAATCCAATAATATGATTTATAATTACATTTCAAATATTATTGAACCTATAAATACTTACATTTGGATTTTGCTTTGCAGCGTCAAATATTGTTTTTTACATTTATTGTTTTAATACATTCATGTGTAATTATATAGTACCTAAATAGAAATAGAGTAAGTAGCTATACTATACAACATCACATCGAATTTATTATTAGAGAAGTAAGAAGTAAGAGCGGCTTTTGCAGTGCACAAATTACACTTGGTGTGCCATAGAAATAAAGTGTTAACTAAATAAATAAACTAATATGTTTAGCTAAAGATCAAAGACCCGATCTTTTATTTAGCATCGGCGAAATACTCCAGAATCAAGAAATATTCAATTCATTCATTTGGGAAGAAGAAGAGGAGAATTATTTCAATATTTGACGCTATTAAGCATTAATCATTCATTTAACGAGTCCATAGCAATAATGTTTAATGTCTTCTAAAACCTAGAGGCAGATCTCTGAGCTTAAAACTGTATTTATTTGGTAAACTGAAATGTCACATTTATTTCAATGCTAATAAAGTTCATTATGCCATTATTGCCGTGGACCCTGCAATATTATACATTACATCAATGACAACACAGGCAATTCGTTTGTTTCGTCAACGAAAGGCAAACCTACAATACAATGTCCTTCTTCATTCCACCATCGCACGTTCTCAAAACAACTGCGCTTCAATGAAAACAGCTTATAAACACGAATCATCGATTAGAATAAGTATTTACAATTTACTTAGTGTTGAATATATATTATATTATTATCGCTTACGCGGTTTGGTACTTTCATTAAAAAAACAGGACTAAATCAACACAGAAGCTCCAACAATAAAATTCACTTATGAAGACACATTTATGCTACAACGTTCCCATAAACGAATTTTAGATCAATAGAAAGGATATTAAGTACAAAACATCTTTTAGTCAATTGGTAATATCTTTACATTAAAACATTTCGTTTTATCTACTTACTTCTTATTTGGCAGTAGTGATTTTTAAATTACCAAAACTGACTTATTTATCAGTTTTAAGCTACATTTCTTAATACATAGGTAATAATCCATTTTATATAACAAATTACAACTTACTATGGTCAATTTTATATCATTACAACGGGCAAAACTGCATCAGAATTTAATATTTCACGAATATACATAGATTATAAGATACCAAATATTGACGATGAAAGAACTATTCCCTAGACTGATAATAATGTAACCAAGGGAAGAACAATGGAACGTAATTATCAGAAAGTTTGATCAAGTCTTCCGGGATTTTATTATAATTAAAGCTCAAATTTAATGGATAAGAAATTACCCATTACTCTATTTATGAGTTAACACAAAAATCTTATCCGTAACACATTCACATTGGCCATTATTTGGCACATAGTTCCAGTTAGTTATTACACGATACGGTAAACTTTTGTACACAAACTTTCCAACTCGAGTGAAACATTTCGCCATTAGATAACATCAGCAAAAACAAGAAAAACAATGTCACATTAATAAAGTTCAATTTATATCTCATTGTAACAGAACAAACTTCGTTAAAACAGACAAGGGTGGTACGCACGGCAACACAAGTCTTTCCGTATTATTTTTTATTCAACTACAGTAATAAGTTTCAAAATTGTTTATCGACTTTGTTGCCGACCGCACGAACGTTCATTTGCTCAGAAACGAAACACAATTTTGCCCTTTAGGACTGACATGCAAATTAACACTTAAAGTAGACCGGCGCGGGCGCACGACGCCCCGCCAACACTCGTCACTCCTCGATGTATCTAAACGATTTAATTAAGATAATATTGTCTCGGCAAAATCTCACTCCACGGCACTCGATTATTAGCGAGTCGTATATACTACGTATATATAAATTTGATAAAGTTAATTCGTATTTAAATATACCATAATTATGTTACTCACCGTAAAAACACTGAGTCTTCGTACAAGTCACAGTCACTGGAGTACGACACAGAGGGGTTGAGGGGACCGCGCGGGCTGAAGACTTGAGGGGAGAGGGGGATTCACACACTTATATGGCCACAAAGAGTCACATAGCATGACTATACGACACACGCTGTATAAGGCGTGTTGTCTTGTTCTTATAAGACTGGTCGGGCCGTGGTGTGTCTTCAGTAGACGGCGGAGGCGCGTAGTACTGGCAGCGGCAAGGGGCGCGGGGGCGCGGGCGAGGCGCGCCGTTAAATGATGCTCTCGCGATTCCGCTCGTTGTCCTCCTGCGAGCTGAGCGAGCTGCCGCCGCAGATCTGCATCTCGATCTCTTGCAGTCTGCGAAAAAGTGGTAACGGTACTATACCATTATGGATGGATTCGACCCTATGGATTCGACCAAACAAGAGTAAATATTAATCTCAGAATAAATTGTCAGTGTTGACATATTTCCCATACTGAAACTGTCAATGTGCCAGTTATACCATGAGTTATTTTCGGATAAAAGTTTGGTCGAATGAGGGTTTTCGCGAATGAAAGATCCGCTAGATGGCGGGACGTGGATGTGGGGTCTGACTGCTGCGTGATTGGTGGATTTTGACATATCTGTCAATGTCATGTCAAAAATAATCAATCATGCAGCATTTGGACCTCGCGTCTACGTATTGCCATCTGGCGGATTGTTCATTCGCGAAAACCCTCATTGGACCTTAATCTAAGAGGTATCTACTTAAAAACTCAAGTTTTTGACGCTCGAAGACGTATCTGATGTTCGTTCTTTGAAACTGAGCACGATTGTTTGTTCAAGCTCCATTTTCAATCGTCTATTTATAACACACTAGGAAGGTATCTTGAATCTAACAAAACAGTATCATTATTCCTGTGACACAATTAGCAAGCTGCATGCAAAGTCTGTATTTCCTGTTTATACAGGAAACAAGAGTTAATAAGATTACGTTACACAACGTTCTTGGAATCTATCGAATGAAATTCTGAGAAATGTGCTTACTCGATATAATATGTAAACAACGTGAAACCTGTCTAAAGCCTTTCTATCTTTTGCGTTCATTCTGGTTGCCAGTACATATTTAGCAGAGACTAATCATTACAACTTATAACTGTATTCCACTTCCCACTGCTGTTGATTGAGCTTCACAGACATAGCGGCGTTCTCGGTCTCGACTGTATATAGCCGTTCTCTCAGCCGCTTGATCTCGCACTCCAACTGCTCGTGGGTGTCGATGTGACCACGCGGACCTCACTGACTGTCACAGCTGTCTAGCGATGATATTAATATCTGAAATCCGTACCTGTGCTCCACTTCCCACTGCTGTTGATTGAGCTTCACAGACATAGCGGCGTTTTCGGTCTCGACAGTGTACAGTCGTTCTCTCAGCCGCTTGATCTCGCACTCTACTGCTCGTGAGTGTCTAGCAGAAACCAGCTGATCAATGATACACCTGATCTGTACTTATGTTCTATTTTCGTACCTGTGCTCCACTTCCCACTGCTGTGGATTGAGCTTCACAGACATGGCGGTTTTCTCTGTCTCGACTGTATAAAGACGCTCCCTTAGCCGCTTGATCTCGCACTCCAACTGCTCGTGGGTGTCGATGGACCGCGCGGGCCGCTGGCCGGCCGCGACGTTGCCGCACTGGACGCCAATATGAATGTCACAGCTTTAAGCGATTATACTAATATCTGAAATCCGTACCTGTGCTCCACCTCCCACTGCTGTTGATTGAACTTCACAGACATAGCGGCGTTTTCGGTCTCGACTGTGTACAGTCGTTCTCTCAGCCGCTTAATCTCGCACTCTAACTGCTCGTGAGTGTCTAGCAGAAACCAGCTGATCAATGATACACCTGATCTGTACTTATGTTCTATTTTCGTACCTGTGCTCCACTTCCCACTGCTGTTGATTGAGCTTCACAGACATAGCGGCGTTCTCGGTCTCGACTGTATATAGCCGTTCTCTCAGCCGCTTGATCTCGCACTCCAACTGCTCGTGGGTGTCGATGTGACCGCGCGGGATGCTGCCAGCCGCGACGCTGCGAGCACTGGACGATAATGTGAATGTCACAACACTCACAGCTATCAAGTGATGATACCAATATCTGAAATCCGTACCTGTGCTCCACTTCCCACTGCTGTTGATTGAGCTTCACAGACATAGCGGCGTTCTCGGTCTCGGCTGTGTACAGCCGTTCTCTCAGCCGCTTGATCTCGCACTCCAACTGCTCGTGGGTGTCGATGTGACCGCGCGGGCCGCTGCCGGCCGCGACGTTGCCGCACTGGACGCCAATATGAATGTCACAGCTTTAAGCGATTATACTAATATCTGAAATCCGTACCTGTGCTCCACTTCCCACTGCTGTTGATTGAGCTTCACAGACATAGCGGCGTTTTCGGTCTCGACTGTGTACAGTCGTTCTCTCAGCCGCTTAATCTCGCACTCTAACTGCTCGTGAGTGTCTAGCAGAAACCAGCTGATCAATGATACACCTGATCTGTACTTATGTTCTATTTTCGTACCTGTGCTCCACTTCCCACTGCTGTTGATTGAGCTTCACAGACATAGCGGCGTTTTCGGTCTCGACTGTGTACAGTCGTTCTCTCAGCCGCTTGATCTCGCACTCCAGCTGCTCGTGGCTGTCGACGTGACCGAGGGGACCATACTGACTGTCACAGCTGTCACGTGATGATACTATAAATCTGTAATCCGTACCTGTGTTCCACCTCCCACTGCTGTTGATTGAGCTTCACAGACATAGCGGCGTTTTCGGTCTCGACTGTGTACAGTCGTTCTCTCAGCCGCTTGATCTCGCACTCCAACTGCTCGTGGGTGTCGATGTGACCGCGCGGGCCGCTGCCAGCCGCGACGCTGCCGCCGCCGGCCGCGCTGCTACGCGCGCTCGACGCCAATGACGCTACTGGCGATGCTACACGAAGAGGGCTTACTGACGAACTGTGAGCAGAAGTAAATAGTAGTGAGACTTAAACATAAAACAGAAGACGTGTTTGCCATGTGAATCTGAAGATATGCTGTTAAAAAAATGTCCAAAAAGCCAAATTAAGCTTGTGAAGTATCAAAGACCAGAGCGATATTAAAATGCAAACTGGTGCAAGCTGCTTTTAATTTGGGCGAAATTATGAAAGGCCCAAGATCTACTCTCATAGACAATTTAAGAGCCTCAACAGCCTCATATCCCAGGGTATATTGTGATCATAGTTGCCTAATCTGTAAATGATATTTACTTCTTGCTTTCTTTGGCCACCTATCACCCTGGCATGTTTTAAAATAAAAAAAAACTTGTTCCCACCGCTGCATCTCCTGTGTAGCCAGGATCTACAGCTGGACCGCCAATAAAAACATAACCAATGAAGGTCAAGTTTGTTCCACTTTGGCAATTATATCCCAAATTTCGAAAAAAGCAAATTCAATAAGAAATTCCAATCGTTTTTCAGTTCCAAACCTATAAAGCTGGTCCCGGTAGGAAGGCGGGTGAGAGGGGTGCATCGGCGGCAGCGCCGGCGCGGGCGGTAGCTGCATCTCCTCGATGGGAATGCGCCCGCTCGTCTCCACGAGCCCGGGCGTCGATTGGCAGCGACCCATCGCCACTGGTGAGAGAGTATTAGATCAAAGCTTGATGTAACCAATGGTAGCATTCCATTACTTACTTAATAAGTACAATAAATAATGGAAATGATTGTATGATGAAATTAATTACGCAATTATTAATAGAGGTTTCTTTTTGCCACAAATGCGGCGTCAAATGGCTTATTTTTTTAAATTAGCTCTCCCGATGATTGAGCTTAGATATCAGCATAATAGAGCTGCAGTGCTCTATATGCATGCTTTGAGACTGAAGATTTTATAGAAAACGTACAAAGCTTGCGTGTGTAAGACACACAAATAAAACAAGAGATATACAAATAATGTAACATGAGTTCTATACACTTTTAATAACATGATGTAAAATGACTTTTTAGTAGCACAAGTCGTCGATAGCACTTGTTATCATAGTCATCATGGACTCAACGTAAAATATATTTGTAGAACTGACTATAATTTCAACGTTTTATTAACAATTTCAAATCTACATTAGAATTTATTGTAGTAGCATAAATACTTACCTTTCTCAAGCGGCGCTTTCTTATACTTCTCAAGTCTCTTGACTGCAATCGCCTCGAGCCGCACCCTGGCTGCTGGATACTCCTTCAGCACGTCCCACATGTCCTTCTTGCTCAGCACGAACAAGTCCGAGTAGCCGACGGACCGCACTGATGCTGTCCGCCGGTTGCCTGTCGACGTGTCATACACACACTCCGTGCCAACCGGTGTTCGGTCGCCACTTCTCATGAACTGCTTTGGCTAACTGACTGAACTGCTCAACTTTTTAAAAAATTAACTCTCAATTTACTTAAAAGTCAGCCAAAACAGATCACAAGAATCTACGAAGAAGGTAGACCGACACACCGGTGGCAGGGCACATTTAGTGGAGGACTTCATTACAAGACTAGAAGATTAAGCTGATTAAGAGAAAGATCCTAAACTACCTTGATTCAGAGCAGGGGTGTGTGTTCAGTCAGGTTCAAATTCAGAGTCCAAAATAAATCGACCTCAAAACAACTATAAGAAGCAGTTCTATTGAGTTCTCAATATGTGCTCCAAACAGACAAAAGCGTTCAGGGCAGTCAAAAAATTTAAGGTATTCAGTTCCCAAAAGAACCAAGCATGTCTACAAGTATGCGTATCAAAGTTAGATTTAAATAAAAATAATTTGTTGGAAATCAACCGACAACACGACGATAGGTCTCGACAGAACAAGTAGATTAAATAGTACACTTAAGAATAAGGGGTACATGCACCAAGAGGTCACGCCAAATATAATAATGAGGTACTCGGGGAGGATGCAAAGCGATCGGGGACACTGCCTTCAATACAACCAAAGGAGAACAGAAAAATGACAAACAAAATGCATGACACTAGACGCTACATATCCTGAAGAAGGACATCTAACGAGAAGCCAACGATGGAAAAGTAAAATAAAATTGTCATTGCAGCTTACCACACATTTCATTATGGTCACTTCTTTGCAGAAAGTGTTCAGTAAAATATAAATGTAAAGAATTCAAAAAGAAACGATATAAACAATAGTCTAAAATGCGAAATATATAAAAAAGAAACGAATGAAAGTACAGGCATTCCCTATTTCACAGAGTTTGCCGTTACCGCAAGTCGATGGCCAGTGTTTAATACTGATAATTGGTAAAGCGTATCAAGACAATGACTAGGTCAAGGTATCAGTAACAGCCGATGACGATGTCCCAGAACCTGTTGTTAGCGTCGCGGCCGCTCCCTCGGCCTGAGTGCAGCGTCTCCTCGAAACGTTTGCTTTTGAAACTTTTCAAGAAAATAATAAAAGTAGAATAATAATGGCGTGGCGTCTCGGGCCGTGGCGATATTTACCAAGTTGTTTACCTGCCGTGCCCATGTTCAGAATGGAAATTTCGCCAAAATAAGAACCCGCCTTGAGTGTTGCTAGCACGGTCTTCCCGTTGTCGCCTACCACCTGCAGTTTGCCTCGGTTCACTATGTACATCTCCTTCCCGACTTCGCCTGGGTACAAGGTTTTCAACATTTAGTTTCTTTCACACATTTGCGACACAAAATCTACAAATGTCATTGTTTCATTAGGTAACTTGAATGTAGAAAATGTAAGGAGTGAGTTAAGTGTAGTGTGACAGAATAGAATGAATTTAATGCATTAAAATGCTCACCTTTTCTGCAGATAAAATCGCCTGGCGAGAACAAAACGGGTCGCAACCTCAACACCAGCTCACACAGGAATCCAGCCTCCGTATTTTGGAAGATTTCCACCCTGTACAAAAGATAAAAATGATGTTTGAGTTGATGAGTTGTTGCAATTCACGAAGGCGAGTGAGCTTTACATGTGTGGTTGCTCGCTACTGTTCGTTTTTCAAAAGTTTTGATAGACATTACCCTTAGTACTATTACTTATTCTGTCACATTACACTATCGTTATATGCATGTACACGTACACACACAAGTACTAAAGCTCACTCGCCTTCGAGAGTTGCAAGAACTAATTTTATAAGTAGTGATTCAGGATACCATAAAGTTTTTCCTTTCGTTTGGTCTCGGCGTTTAGGCATTTCACGAATCATTAGGTACTATGTAGGTACAAAGGTCGTCGGGAATATTTTGATGTGTCTCTAATGTCACGTGTCAAGTACAGGGATCCAAACAGCAAACAGAATCGAGCTGAGAAGAAAAAAGCTCGGAAAAGTCGTTTACGACAAAAAAATTACGGATCGTATAAACGAACACTTTTGCATAATTCATGGACGTAAAAAGCGAATGTTTCTCTTTTTAATTATACGACACGGGATATTAAGCTTGAAATGCCACGCTGCATAATGTGGCCATGTCGTACACTCACCCTGATGTTGACGTCTTTATCATTTGCTTGGGTTTTATGTTCTCGTGTTGTATGGAATTGAATGGAAATAGTCAAGCAGTGCAGTAGGAGAAATTTGATTGCCTTTTCTTACCACTTTTAGGTATTGACTTACGTTCATGGAGTGGGAAATAAAGATTCATGAATAAAATATTTTAGCAGGTACAGATTTTTAGTAGTTCCCAAAACAATAAAATAAATACAACGCAACGTACGTTCTGTTCCGTACATTTCGTTAAAAATAAATACGTTTTCTTATACGGAACTCTAAAAGCAATTCCATTGAAAAGCACAACACATGAATAAACAGAGACATACGGGAAAGTTTCCGTGCAGTTAAACAAGTTGTTTGAAACATGTTAATCAAAACGAAATGTTATTGCGGCGTTCCGTTCCGCTTCTAATAGCAAACTTGGAAACTATAATGCGAACCTGTAATAATTTGTGCTTATACACTAGGTAAGGTATAGTAATAAGGTATTAGACGTACATTCATGAAATATTCATAGTTGTTTTAATACTACAATATTAGTTATTAGCGTATCAATTTTATTAACTGTTTTGAGATTTCTTTCTGGTCGTCTTGCTAATTCTGTCGCGTGGCTTGAAACAACTCAAGTCACAATCTTGAGATCAGACTTAAAACAGCCCTCTAAAATAAAAGCGTCTGAAAAAGTGTAATTGTGTGCCGAACTTAATTTACATTAATTATCATTCGAAAAACAAAACGATAATTTAGTTTTTAAGCATGGTAGTAACTTAATATTATGGTCTTAAAACACAAAATCAAAGTCCTACTCTAAGTAGATCCTACTACATCTGGAACTCCATTGGTATCAAACCCAGGACACCCGGATCAAGAGAATTTATTTCTATTTCATCGCGAGACCATAGAGGCATAAAGTCATAAATACAAAAAAGGGAACGATAGGTGAACATTTTGAGGGAAGCATTATTCGCGAAAGTTACACGCCGCAGTGGTCTCCATTGAGTTTTATAGTCAACCTTTTATCGGTTTTGCATTAAAACGAAATGTACCTTATTCCGTTTTTTATGATTGCATGGATATAATGCTTTTGGTGACAAAATCGAATGGGAATTATCATATTGAATGTATTGTATACTAACGATGAAATTGCAGAAATGGATACCAAAATTTTTAGCTCACAAAACATCAAACTCTTGGCAAGGACTAGAGTTTATTTGTTCCGCTAGAACAAGCTTAGATCTTAAAGCTATTCCTAAGTCAATGACCTGTATCACCGTAGAGGCAGTAAAAAATCGAAGGCATCTTGGAATCATTATGAATTGTGTAGTTTTTCTTCCAACGTACAAAAGTACTACCTGCATTGTTATCTCCCCCTAGCTAAGCGCACATACCTATTAAATAAACATTAGCAGATGCGGAGTCGAATGACAACCCTTTGTGTAGTTTATTACTTAATATTAACTCACTGCTCGAATCTATTACTCAAAACTTAATTTATGTTTGGCTCAAGTAAGAGGTCTGATTAAATTTTCCAGTGAGAAACTTAATAACAAGTTTGCTGATCCCCACCGTGATACTAAAAGGGCTGAACATGATGTAACGAAAGTTTCTTAATAAAAAGACAAATCAGTTTATATTATCTGCACAAATCTGAAGTGTTCAAAAGTTCAGGACTACCACCTTTTGTCTAAATTACAACTGCAGTACCATCTTCACTTTATGTGAATTTGATATTTATGGAAGGTAACGCAATACCCTAATTTAAAGTGACTTGGTAGGTATGCGATCATCAAGCAACTACTAAAGTTCAGTATAAGCCGCCCATAGTTTCCCAAGTTATCTGTTAACAACAATATCATGAGATAAATCTTCAAACTGCTCCCGTCAGGGGCCGTTGCATTGACTGCCGGGCGATCTTGACCCACGTCACTTCTACTTAATGTTTAGTATAGTGACTTTGATCGTTCCCGTAATGACTTTGGCAGTTCCAAGTTTTGTTTATGGACCGGCAGTTAACGTGATGTTTAAACTTTCAGACTCCCAAGTCTCTGAGATTCAGCTATGAATTGAACTTTGGGGAATACTGTTCACTTTATTTTACGGCGCAGTTAAGTGTGAATGTACCTTTTGATATTATTGCGTAGTAAACTTAAAAAGACCAACAAGCTTGGTAAAATCATATTTACTTTCTTTTGGTTAAATTTATCAATTTTTTCAGAACTAAAATAAGAGTCGATGATTTTTCGAAACTGCAGTTCAGAATGAAATACTTAATTCCAAATTGTTATGTATTATCTGTGGTATTCTGTTAAAATTTACATGAATAGGCTCTCTGATCTTCTGAGTAACGATATCAAAGACTGAAGAGTCATTAAGAAAATCAATAAAGCAATGCTTCCCTTTATAACGCAGTGAATTTAGAACCATAGTGACTTGTCTTAGGGTCAGAAACCAATAATAATTGAAGGGGTGAGTGGACAAAGGTGTTATCTGACAAAATGAAGAATCGACTTTTTTGCATGAACATAGGTTTTAAGTGACGATAAAATCGACTAATGAGCTCGAAACACGCAATTTTGTTACGTGTCAAACCTAAACAAAGGTGTTATCTGACAAGCATTCATACATTTTAGGATTCAAATGTGGTATGAGTATGAGCAGATTAACATTTTCAAACACTCATAACTCGTTTTGTTAGTTATGACCTTTGTCCACTCACCCCTTGAATTGTGAACATCTAAGGGTTAAATTAACAAAGATTACCTCTTCAAAGTGTCCAAATGCACGTTGATAGCGATCTCCGCCTTCAGCTTGTCCGGCAGACACGACACGGCCTTCTCCTCATCCGAACACTTCTGCGTGAGCCAGAGGTAGTCGAACCACTTGATCACCTTCACCTGCAGGTTGTTGGGCACCCGCCGCATGCGCATGTAAGTCTTCACGCCGTCCAGTTTCGCTGTAACAAGGGAAAATAAAGTAAAGTAGGCAGCTCTATGATATTGTGATTTTGGCGCTCACAACAATAAAACTTTCTTTGCGTCACGCATTCAGGCTAACAACCCTTGAGGTTTAATACAAAACTCAGTCACGAACTCAATACCATTCGTCTTTTAAAACACGTCAATTTTTAATTCCAAGACCATTTACTCAATATTTCATTAAACTTAGAGATGTTTTTTTTTTCATTTATTATCATTTTACAAAGGAAGTTCTTAACATTATTACAATTTATTGCATTGGCATAAACCACTGAGGTTTGTTTGCAAAAAATATCATCATTGTTTATTACTTGGAATTTTCCGGGAACAAAACGGGCCGTTTTCAGTACTGATAAAAATGATAAGGTTTTTACAAAAGATTAATAAACATTTAATTAAATAAAAAAACAACGTACGAGTATATTTTTATATGAGTGTAATAATAAACAAGATGTTTAATATTATTTTATACTATTTGCAAAAATTTAATGATGTAAGTATACGTCTTTAAAGTATCTTTGCCAGAGTATACCTTATTTACAAGTCTCCATATTTTCCATGTCACAATCTAACAGACAGAAAGGTTTTGCGCAGTGTTCATACATTTTGAATGTGACAACATCCGATATCCCGAAGGAGTCTGAGACGTGACGTCTTTAAAACGATGGGCCCTTTCGAATTCATAGTTACATGATCACGTATCAACCACCTGTCATTCGGAACTACGTGCGCGAAATTGGTATAGGAATTAGGTATTATGTATCTGCGTCAATAGGCTGCAGCAATCTGACTAACAAATAAGGCCAACTAGTTTGATTAAATGAATGAAAAAAAAAACTGACGTTTTGTTAACAAGTTTAACTTGAAAAAATCTATCCTACCTGACATAGTAAGACTTTAACAACTATTTTACGCTTTACTGGGTGCCTACTTTGACCATATTATTATCGAGCTTTAGAACCATTTTATGTATAGGTACCTATGGAATTTTTCAAGGAATTTTGTAAGTAGGCGCTGTAATGTAGCGAACTTTACCGTTATGCGTTTCTAAACTTATCTTACATTGCCAATTGAAATAGTGTACAGCACCTCTTTAACTATAAACTTTAAGATCATGATTTGACGTTTGCGACATTGCTAAATTCCATTGGCGCGGACTATAGATATAGACACCTACTCGTACTAATACTTGTGCGAGTTGCGGATATAGGAGGATATAGGTAAGTATAATGTAATCCTATAACTTGATACGATTAATTCTCGCTAAGAACCTCTTAGTTTCAATTTACATTGATAACAGAATATCTAAGTTTAAATTGGTTAAAGCAGATGAGTTAAGCGTTCGAGTTTAACTAAGTGTGTAGTTTAAATTAGCTTCGTGTTTGTCATATTCGTGTCAGATTCAGATAAACACTTATAGTTATACTATAGAAATCCACATCTGCATAATTAAACTTTTTGCATAAATAAAGATATAATTTGAACTTTGCTAGGAGAAGGATAGCCTACGATTTTAAAACTTAAAGGGGTAGAAAGGGTGACAAATGTTGCATGGGAAGTAATCCCACACTTCTCATGCAACATTTGTCACCCTTTGGTGGGTATCCATAATTTTTGTGTTAGGTTTCACAATAAATTAATCACTGTAAGTTTCAATTAAAAAAAAATATTACTATAACTACAAACGCACTCAAGTCGAAATTAAATTTAACCCCAAAGGGTCCGTGACCGTTGCAGAAAACTGTCTTTTTGTCCAGTAAAGTTGCAAAAGCGCGCGAATTCTATAAACATGGCTGCACTGTGGTGTTTTATACGTTGATCGAAAGGGATCCCGAGGGAGTGGGTTGTTCAGCGCCGATGTTGTTATCGTAAAACCGGCCCCTTATTTAAGCCGCTGAAATCGTGAAAATGGAACCGTATATCGTGTATGTTAGCATTGGTAGGATAACGGGGAGTACCTACTAAAATGAAGGCTAATATTTCGTAGGTAATTAATTTTGCGATTTAACGACTCGAAAAGTCTAACATTGTCTATCAGACTGGATGACTAGACATCATTAGCGAGCTAGACATTATGGTTATCATGATTGTTGTACTCAGACACTAACTAATAGAACAAAATTTCTAACTACGGAAAGGCGAATTACAATCTTAAATTATGTAGTTTTATAATTCAAATAAATTATTAATTACCTATGTTACATGAAAGCTTTCCCAATGCAATAATTATTGTGACTACTTGGCGACAAAATCACCAAAAGTATCTTCAGATAATGCGAATGTCATTAATATTAGTGCGACGAACAATCCTAAAAACAAATGAATGTGCTTCCACATTCATACATATATAACTCAGCCTCGCCGAGTGTCATCGTTCATCTTACGAGGCATCTATCTCTAATGAAACGAGTCTTCATATCGGCCAACAAAGGCAAATACGTTTCCTGCAATCTCCACTAATAGAATGATGGAATGTCCATTGTGCTGATGCAAGACCCTTATTTTTATTTCTGTCCAATCACTCATGGCAGCCTGGCCGTGACGGAGGTATTATGGAATATGAGAAATGCCCCAAGAAAGTTAATATAAATGATTTATTCATATTTTAGAACGCAGCATACAGAGGAGTGAGATAGGAGCGACTTTCTAAAGGATCAATTGAGTGAGTGAGCATTTATATTAGGCCCATGTTGAATTATTTTGGTCGCATTTCAAGTTTTGGACACTAATATCATGCAGTGCGCTATTACGAAAACGTTACACGCACGTTGGTCACTGGTTTAAAATTACACTAAATATCAATTTAACAAGTGTTCAACGCGCGTTTAACTTTTTATAATAAGGCCCATGTTTATTATAATTGAATTGTTTCATTAAAACTTTATTTTTCAGATAAAATATAAAAATAGTGTAGAACGCGAATCAATTGGCACAAGACATTCTCTTATAAACCTGGTATTGATTACCAAGGTATCTACCAAGGTGTACCAGTCAATCAAAACGGGCCAAATAAAGTACGAAAGAACGAAAAGGAAATAGTTCAACATATTCAATCGAACTAAACTTATCTTTCCCTAAAGTCCGATGCAGATATTAGCATAACACAGGTGCGGATGTGGCATGTCGTGCAGCATCGGAAATAGCGGCAGCTCTGAACATCCGCCGCGAACTAACTTTATCTTGTATCAATCTCCGTGATACATTAGATAGTTAACACAATAAATCATGTGCGCGCGTGACACGTGGTTCGAGGAGGACGGTAGGGTTGTCTCCTAAGGTACAGACGATAGCACAAGAGTTCTGTTGTAAAGTCACCCCTATCACAACTGCATTAGATACCAGTGTCTAGGCTGATGAGCCGTCGTCTGTGCAACTGATCATAAGGTGATGGAGTAGGTATTTTTCGTGACTTACATCAGGAGTTTTTGGGTGTATTTATTTATTCTTTAGAGCCATTTAAATTGATGCATAAAACATAAGGAAACAATGATACGAAAAGATTTTTCAATTAATCGTCATTTTCCACTGTCTATTTCTACTCTGTTTTCCACAATGCAATGCGTAGCCAAGATCTACAAACTAATAATTTAACTGTTATAAAATTTCTTCAAATCCAATAAATAACTCCATCTCTAAACTGAAACATAAGCTACTGATAATGCATCAAACTAGCTCCAAAAATTACCTCTTTTTTCCACCTCCAGTTGGCAACCCTAAACGGGGCTGTCACATTAGCGTACTAAGCAGGTATACGTGTTGGCACGTGCCGCAATACGTGCCCGCCCCTTGAGCGAAACAATCTTGGAGATTACTAAGCGGTGCCTGGCACTCTTGGGAAGGTCAGGTGCATTAATAGGAGTTCTGGTAAAAATGGGGACATTGGTAAATGTCTGAAAGTAACATCCAACTTTGTATTATTATTACTATTTGTAATACCTTGCAATAATTTAAGGTTTTTAATATCTCTTGCGTCTAATTTACAAATCGATTTGAATTCATCGTCTCTACGACACTCAGTAGGACAGAAAAAGTCGAGAGAGTCATAGACGAGAAGTTGTGTTTTGTAACAAGTGAAAATGAGGAATTTGATGATAATAGAAAAACAGATAAAAAGTTTAGGTACACATAAAGTTGAGGCAACACGCAATTTTAAGATAAGCGTCATATCTCTCCTACTACTTATGATGATCAGTACCAGTAGAGTGAGTTTTCGCTATTACCATTGCTAGATATTATGCAATTTCAATTTGCTTATCACTTCGTTAGTCTTCAAGTTACATCTTTGTGTACTTTTCTCATTTGTTGCGACTTTATCGAATCGAAATCTTATAATTGTCTACACACACAGGCAGAAAAACAAACGAAACTGAGAGTGAAGAGGATGCGCCGTCCATTGCGAAAAAGTTTAACGAAGTTCCATCTATCTCCCTTGTATTTCTTTTTCACTTAACACTAGAAGTGCCGAAGATTACGACCCCCCTAAAAGCGCCGCTGGGTCAATTTTGTCCCAGCATATATTTTGTAACATTTTTTAGTTTCAGGCATGAACATTATGGTTAAAACTATTTGTAGTATCCTTAAAAAATGGTTTATCTATATAGTTAAATCAATATGTACTTATTTCTTTAAAAATATAAATGTATTCAACTTTAATTTTGAATGATTGAAAGACAGATATTTTTGGTTTCATATAAAAATTGTCACATATTACATGGTGTTATACTGTATTAAAATTATGAAATTACTACTTTAACTATTCATTACTATTTTTGAAGGAATAATAAATATCTTACAAATAATAGTGCACATTTTGCACAAAGTTTTTTTGTATGGTTTTTTTGTCTCTCTGGTGTACTATGTGTTTAGGAATTTCTATAGGTATGGTTATTTTTCTGTTATCCGTACACACACAGTGAAGTTTTTTACCAGTTACAATGAAAAGTATGGACATTTAATTTAAAAAAATATATAAGTCACA